CCGCAGACAGTGGCACCAAACGAAGAGCTTTTTCTGCCATGAAGATGCCTTGAGCACATCGATCTTCGCTTTCGAGCAAAACAAAAATATTCGTCCATGCCTTTGAATGGTCCGGCCTTAGGTTGGTAACTGCCGACCAGCATGACAGGGCTTCCGCTTTGCGACCAATACTGACATACTAAACTCGCACAATGGTTACTGAACAAGCACTCTTCTTGTATTTCTCTGAGCAATTATCAGAAACTAACCTGACCATCACAAACGCTCAAGTCTCAGACGCATATATGAATTGATGTGTCTTACCGAGCTAGTTATAAAGGGACGCGAAACTGCATCAGCATAGTTCCACTCAGCATCACGATTCATTATTGCACTACCATACCAATTCATTTATTCACAATATATTTATTTATTTTTTAATGCTAAATTTATCTGTTTGTTAATTACCATAGAAGTTTGAGTGCATTCGAATTCAGCAATAATTTCTCCAAGTATTTTAAAGATCTACCGTGACAAAACAATTTACTTTTCTTAAACTGAAGGTTGCTTCTACTCCACCGTTACAGAGTGAAACTCATTCGCTTAAGCGCCATTGCACGTCACAAACGAACGGTGGTCTAGTGTAGGCATCCACTGGATAATATACACTAACTCAGCTATGTTGCAACAGATGCAGATCATTGCAAGGCGATGAATTAGGTTGTCAGCCATATGCAGGTTCTAGGTAATAAGCTGGCGAATGGAGTTCCATTTCTAACGCAGTGGCCAGAAGTTTCTTTTTGCTCCGCGAACGTCAGTATTTGAGATGGATTGAAAAAATATTATAATATGATCTTCTTGCACGTTATTAAAAGTTCTTGCATTTATAAAGCTCACGTGGCGCTATGTAATGAGGAATTAATACCATTAGACTAGCTTATGATGCTAACCGTTTCTTGAACTAACGAGTGATATGATGGAAACCCTGCAACGTTAACAGAAACTCGATTAATACTGATATAGAGGGTTCATTCCAGTGATTTCATTCAAATACTGAGGTGTTCCTTCATTCGAACAAAGACTTTACAGTCCCGTATACCAAATTTCCAAGATTGTACAGACAGTCGGCGTATTTTGGGCGAAATTTCAGAGCAATCAGATAGCACTTTTCGGATTCTTTGTATTTTTTCAAGGCAGCCTTGACGGTACCAAGGTTCATCCAAGCCGTAGCGAAATCGCTTCTAAAACAGTTCCATACATTTACTACTGTGAAATATATGACAAATATTTTAGCGCCAATATTACTATAAGCATTCGCCATATTAATTAATAGAATTAAAATATGCGTAGTCTGTACCATATCAAAGGTCTAAAGCCTGTTGAACAGGCAAAACTTACGAAATGAGTATATTGATCGATCAGCAGTTTTATCATAAAACACCGCTGAAAAACAGATGAGCGGTCACTTCGTTTTCCTGGCATAAAGACTAAATCATAGAGAAAGTAAGTGACCATTGAACTAACTCATTAGCGACACTACTTTCGGAAAATCCAACCTGGTATATACTCCGTGGACAGCAGACAATAGGTAAGTTATTCAGCTACAACTTCTGAAAGAAAGACTGAGAAACACTGTCAATATTTACCCCAGAAACGAACAACAGAAAGCGATCTACTCGCCAAAGATGACGCATCCATAGGACTGGTTGCCTATTATATTATTAGCAATAAAAACCTATTAACGATTTGAAAAAACTAAGAGTAAA